TTACATTTTTCTCCATAAATACAAAGCTAAAGAATCCTCAAATGTTTCTCCCTTCAGGAACAAGCAGGCCATGTCCCGCGTGTCCAAGTCCAACCTGTTCTGCCTGTTTCGCTCTCTGTGCCAGAGGTGCAACCGCACAGACCTCCTCTCTCTGCCCTCCTACGCTCAGGCCAAGACGTCGGCCGTACCCTTCCAACTTGCCAAGCAGCTGTTCTTTGAAGCTCTCTGCATCCACGGCTACGGAGCCTGGATTGGCAAGCCGCTGGAGGAGAAGAGCTTTGAGTTGTCGGAGGGAACCAGAAACAATGGTGGGAGCGTCCCTCTGGGAGTTGGGAACAGTAAAAACGGAGGGCTAGTGGAGTACAAGCAGGCAGAGGCGTAGATCCGTGCAGGGGGCTTAACTTCAAAAATCTTATTCATCTGTGGGAAAATGGAAAGAAAGTGTAGATTAGGGAGAGAGGGGTGGGGGGACAGAGACATAATAAAGTAAAAGTACAATCAAACAGCACAAAGCCAGTGGCCAGATCTGTGTCTTCTGATGGAACATGGTTGAAGGCTGCAGTGAGATTGATGGGAAGGGACGGGACGAGTCAAGGGCAAAGCCTGAAGTATGAATGAGGTCACAGTTGACAGACGGAGCTGGGTAGAGGTCCAGGGGCTGTTCAGACCACTGTAAACACTACATGCAAGAGGAACTTTCTGCAGTCAGTCTCCATCTCTGTCAACGCTGCGCGGCTCAACTTCAGCAGTTTGTGCGCAGTCCTTTGCGTTATGTTCCAAACCTGTACTGTTAATTGTTCTGTTATCGGAGTGCAGACCATATTGTGTTTTCTTTTTATGTTCTTGGAGCTGGTTTGTAAAATATGTTTTCTGTTGCTTTACGTGGAAACTGCAAAACAATCTGGACCAAGATGACTTCTGCTCAATGAATTGTTTTATTATTACCATTTGCAACAAAAGAAACCAAATAAATCTGGCCTAGTGTCGCTCTGCATTGTAGCCGTGAATATAATTCCAATTAAGGTAAAAAAGAAACAGAAAAACGCGTAATGCTCTTGCATTAACCCTCCCGTGATCTTGGCGCGTTGCTCAGGAGGAGCGCAGCAAATGTGATGGTTGCAGAGGGATGCTAGGTGGGGGGCGAGGGGGGTTGTCCCGTGTTTCTCAATTCCGGTCCTCAGGCCCCCCTGCCCTGCATGTTTTAGGTGTTTCCCTTCTGCCACACATCTGGATTGATTATTTTGGTGATTAACTTCTGCAGTACATGATGGTCATGCAGTCATTTGAATCAGCTGTTCTGGAACAGAGGCACATCTAAAACATGCAGAGCAGGGGGGGGGCGGAGGGGACCAGGGTTGAGAAGCACTGCGTTAGACCATCAGTTCCTGAAACCAAACAAAAAAAAAACCTCGGAAAAGTTCACGCGGGGTAAGTGCAATCCTGCGCAGAGTCGGACCGTGCAGACTAAAAACCTGTTTGGTCCAAATGACCCCGTCTCCGAAGTCCTAGGGATTAAAGTTAGTGATTTGCTCTGGCTAAAGTTCAGCAAAAATGTGGCATAGAAGCAGCTTTTGGTAAAGGTTTAAGGAAAAAGTGATCATCTTCTGCAATGAGAATTTGTCAATTTCCGATGTGCAGGTTTTGTGACTCTTTGACCTACTGATACAGATATTTTTTTACGACTGGTAACATCTGATGTAAGAAAAAAAACCTCTTTTAAGGGGTCGTTAATTATTGATATTTGGGACATCACACCAATCTGGGAGATAACATAAGATAAAAACAAAGTTCATCAAGACAAAATCAGTGGAATCTTTCCCAAGTAGATTTTGGCCACAAAAGACCAAGTGTGACTGGCTTAACAAAAAGAACATTTTTCCTGTAGGTTTCCAAAATCCAGCTGTTTCCAAACGTTCTGCTGAGAAAGGTTGAGAGACCTAAACAATAAAACAGAGCAACTTTGAACGTGTCCAAAGTCATCTCACTCATAGTGAATGATTCCTTTCAAATAGCTCCTTGCAACTTTCTTTTTCCTCAACGAAATTATTTTAAATACATTACTGATGGTAGGTGTTATCCTCTCAGTAATGGCGTGCCCACAGCTCATGCTGTTGCACACAAAGATTTACTTTAAAACTGCTTTTCCTTCATTATTGATCATTCAGTGACAGAGTATGGAGATGAAGGTAAAATATCATTTCGTGTTGGGAATATAAAATTAGTGGTTTGCAGGACATAAGTACTCCCTATTTTTAAAGTCAACTGTTTGACTTCTAAAGTTAATGTTTTGTCTTATGTTAAAAGTGTTTTTCTTCATTTTAAAGGCCTAAGGAGCCTCAGCAAACTGACAGGAAGGGTCATCTTTGTATTTTCACGTTTTCAGTCACTGTTTAAACCTAAATACTTGCTTTGGCTCTGACCGGCAGAAACGACGATTGTTCTTTGTAAATACATATTTACATTATTCTCCCTTTAAGGACAAATTGCTGGGGTTTTATTATTTTAGTTATATTTGATTTGAACAATGCATTGACTTAATTTGGTTGAAAGGAGAGAAATCCTTGTTTTAAACTTACAGTACATCCCCGCCAAACTTTAACTGTACATAGGATCAAGTTTTATCAGACACTTTAAGATTGTGGTTGAAGCTTCTGTGTTGTTTTCTTTGTTTGTTTTTTGCTTATCTGATTTCTACCAGCTTGTTAGTTCCCTGCACATCCGTTGACATCTTGTCTTTATAGTTTTAATTTCCTCAGTTTAGGTAAAAACCTTCGTTTGATTGGTCTCATCTGTCCTTCCCTTTAAACATTTATAGAGAAATTACCATGTCTCACTCTGAAACAAGTACACTATCACTGTTTCTATGGCTTATGTGGTTTGAGTCTTTCTACTTTTTGGGGTTTTTTTTTTTTTTTTTTTTTTCACAAGTCTGTAATTATTGTTCTCTCGTAATGTTTTTGAAAGCCTCAAATGTTGCTTTTTAGCTTCTGCATGGGAAGCGGTTAGATCTCGAAGCGCGACTCTCAGGAGGACTGCAAAGTCGGGAAACGTGGCTGTCTGTAAGGGGCGCTGTATTCTTAAATCTGCTGATGCAATATATACATGAGCTGTACACAAATACATGAGTACACAGACATGCAGTGGGGTTTCAGAAGCCTGAGTCTGGTGTCAGAACCTCGTTTAAGTTTGTTACTCAGACTATTTGCTTTAACCAATACTCGTATGTAGAAATGCCTCGGAGGTTTTTTTGTTTTTTGTTTTTTTTTCCAAGCAAGGAAGAGCTATGCAAGCACCAAGTGATTCTTCAGGCAGTTTTGTGTTGGTCTGCTGCCTCTGCAGAACTATTAGGTTTTTATCTTTGTTTTTTAATTATCTTAAGCTTTAAGTTGCTGTTTTAGAACAGAGAGCACCTTTTTTTTTTGCAACATTTAATTTGGTTCTTATATTTCAGCTGTAACGGAGGGACTATAACTTGTGAATTAAACACAATGTAGCAGTGCTGTTAATGTAAAATAAAATCATTTCAAGAATACAAAAGAAATAGAAATGGTTTTGATGTGAGATGGTGTAGGTCCTTGTATTGGACTCAGACCTCTGGATCCCACTGTATGCAACAATAGATGCTCGGAGTTTGATGGTTGTACACGCGGTATGTCTGTGTGTGTATGTATTTGTGTTTTTAATGTATATATTTTCTAAAAATAAAATAAAATGGCTTTTTATATATTTTTTTCATGCTTTTTTTTTTTAGATTAAAGTGAATTATATATTTCTTTTGAACAATGGACTTTGGGAAATTGAGATAATAAAAATGACAATCTGTCTCTTTTATTTTGATATGCAAACTGTTGAAATGTCTAAAGTGCATGAAGCTGTTTAACTGGTTTAGAAGACTTGTTTGAAGGCAGACATTTTGAATAATCGGGTTTTAATGTCAAAGCCAACACACAAAGCAGCTTTTAAATCTTAATTTCGTTGTTATTTGCTATCCGGGGAATCGGGGAATAGTTTGTGAGCTTCACCTCAAGAATACTCGACTTATGCAGCCAGACAGTGATCCAAAGCACACCAGCGACTGACTTCAAAAGGAAACTAAAAGCTTTCAATACGGCCTTGTCAAAGTCTGGATTTAAATTTAACTAAGACGCTTTCAATTTTTCCAAGTACAGTGAGCCAAAATTCCTAAAGCATGATGATCCTAAGTGCTGAAGTAGAAGGCAACTGTATGTTTTGTTTCTTGAAGACGTTTCACCGTCCAACATTTGGAAATACACGCATCTTAATTTATTGCCTGAGATTAAAATTTGTTTGATCTGCAACGAAAGAAGAAATCTGTAATCTAAGAATTATTCGCTTAAGCATGAAAACCCTGAGAACCAACCTTGGCTCACCCAAAGTTTCTCCAGGAGTTCAAGGAAAGCGTGTGTAATAATCTCAGTACAATGCTCCAAAGGATCAGCAGGTGGAGATACGCGCACGCATGGAGCCCCTGGGCTTCACCATCTCAGCCACAGGCAACCATTACACTCACAGAGCAGACTGAGTAACATCCCAGAGTAGATGATCATTTTATAAGTTTAGACTTTAATGGCTTGTACATTCGTGTGTCTTCATGACCATTTAAAACCCTAAATATCTGAATGTATAAAGATATTTGTTTCCCACTAATGTTGACATTGTTATATTTTTTGTATGTTAGAAACAAGTAAAATTTTTGTGTGCTGCCAAGAATGTATCACAAGAACCAAGACCCATTTGACATAAAAGTGCATAAAAACAAGTTTGGAGTGAAAGGAAACCTTATGTAAAGTATCAACATAATGAAATATCTACATTATAAACTGGTGAGGGACTTCTGGGGATTTCCAGACTTCAAAAATCTGGAGGCAATTGGTTGCACTCTATTTTCTTATCAGAGTAAAGGCTCTGAATTAAAATGCGTAATTTTTCTGACATTCATTTGTTACAAATGTTGAAAAACGGGTATTGTTTGTCGTCCCTACCATAGTTGGTGTTTGAAAAATGTCAATACGATTACTTTCGTTAGGCACAGTATCGTTCCTAAAGCTAGCAAAGGCAGCAGAGGCTAGCCGCTACAGGAAGTTAAAAATGTAGCATTTCTAAAGTGGTAAATGCTGCAGATGAGGATGGAAATAATGGAAAATAACTAAATAGGGCTGAAAACCGATCTCCACTTGTTCAAAGCAAGACAGAGGGTTTCCACCAGTTTAAAACTCCCATGAGCCACTGCTTCCAACATTGTGGGAGTGTTGTTTATGATGAGTTGTTTAAAATGTGCTATGTAGCAACCACTTTGGCAGATAATTAAATGTGTGTGTTCAGTGGTTTTTAATTCATGTGTTACTGAAGATGTTTACTATGTTGGAATCGTTATCCTATTATACAAAACTCCCTCCATCATATCCACGGATGCATTTTTTTTTTTTTTTTTTTTTTTTGCATCTCGGTTAAATTTGATAATGATTTCTTTAGGAACATTTTCTTTCCATTTGCTTGTTGCAGAAGCAGAGCCAATCGAGTTCGAAAGCACTTAAGGCAATTTTTACTCAAGAGCAGAGCTGATAAATGTAGTCCCATCAACTGCCGTGAAAAGACGTTTTCTACACCCAGTCATTCGCAAAGGCTCGTCTGAGGTTGGCTGAGTAAAAGCTGTCAAATACTCATAAATGCATGTTTGTGCTGTTTAGATGATCCATGCTGTGCCAGGGGCCCCTGTCCAATCAGGGACTCGACCCATCAAGTTGGACTCATACTGTCTCTGCAGTCAATTGTTCGAAGGGCGGGACTGATGATGAAGGGAGAGGGGAGTGAAGAACGATGAGGAAAAGGATGGATGAGTTGAGTGAAGTGATGAGAGGTGAAATATTAGTCCAAAGCGGAGGGCTTAAATAAGCCAATCGATGCTCTCCGATGGAAATAAATGAGAGTTGGGAGGCAGGGAATAGGCTCAGGCTGAGTGTGGAGAAGGCGAGTTTAACAGCCCAGATTAAAAAAGATAAGACGACGACGATCAAACGGATGGAGCATCAGAGCGTTGAAATATTGACAGATAATGTTAGACCATTATTCTTCATTTGTAAATCATAAATTTATGGCAAAGTAAAACAAAAACTACCGAATGCATCATTAGTTTCTTAGCAATAGCATCGCCGACTTTCATTTCTCTCATCAAAACAATACACAGGTGTGCAAAATCCATTGTGATTAGACACATGAAACGTTGCATGTTACATTTGAATGCCAGATACCTAAAAGCACTTGTCCTCCACATGGAAAGCATGTGGCTTAGGAATACTTTGATGGGATAATGTGTGAGAGAAATTAGATTACACGTTTCACCCGTAGTTGCAAGTGAAATTGCAAATGGATAAATATCAAGCCACACTGTCTGCTCAAAGCACTTTAACAACACACGTCTCACTTCCCCTTCAGCTCTCACAAAGTTAGCCGTCTTGAAACTTTGATATGAAGAATTATACTCACAATCTGCTGTTTATGTCCGCTTTTTTACTTTTTTTTGTCATTTTGCATTTGACATGTGGAAATCAAGTCACGAATCAATCACATGCAGGGAAACTTTTCATAAGCTTTCCACAAGTTGTAATTATGACTCCTCATTAAATATGTGGGGGGGAAATGTCACGTATGTTTCAATTAGCTACTATGTGATGTAGTAATAGAAAACTTTTTCTAGTTCACATGGATGCTTTAGATAACACGAAACATATGGCAAGGTTGTTGTTGTAGTACAAAAGTGATGCAACATAAACCATAGTTTTCTTAGCATAGATGTGTAATCTAATGTACTGTTTGTATATTATCTTTAATTTAGAAGCGTAGTGACTTTTTGCATCATGTGAAATTGCGATGTATCGAACTAATAAATTCAAGCTTGTATCTAACATCCATTCATAGAACTTTAATATGCGACATGTAAGGCGTCAGCATAGGAAATCACCTCTGCACTCATGAAGAAGTAAAATATGTGCAACCAAAGAACATATTTACCACACCAGTAAATCTGGTAAAATGTTGCACCTTTGAAGGGTTTTATTAATATGCTCATAATGCACAAAATGTGATTGCCTGCTTTTCTGGCTGGAGACCGCAAACATCAACAACCTTGGAAAATTAAGGGGAAAGAGACCAGGCCGTTCCATTTATTTATATAATTGCAGACAAATTGAGCTTCTGTAGCAATGAGTGATCTCACTCTGCTAATGAGGAGCCTGATACATGTTCTAAAGTTCGAGCTCGAGCAACTTAGGACTGCTTCATCAATTTGCACTTTCTGCTTTTGCTATCTGTGAGACGGAGCAGCTATCCGGAGATCCATCAAATCAGCTGGAGCGGCTGATGTGCGAGAGCCACGGTGTTTTGTTAATTGGGAATATATATTTGGTTCTTCATCGGGTTAGGCAACAGAAAATGGCTTCTGTGGAGCCTGGTGTCAGGAAGCCTAAGAGAACAGTTTGGTAATGAGGAAAATCCTCCCTCACTGACAGAGATAGATTTTATTAAAGTGCAACAGAGCAGACATTTAATTGCAGTCAGCAACCTGCTTTTCTGTTTTATCCACATCTGTGCTTTTTGGTCTACAGCAAGTAGGCAGAACAGGATGTTCTAAATGCTTTTAAATCATATCCACATGTAAGACGTTTGGCAGAACAGCAGCTAGTGTTTCTATAATGTGACGTGCAACAGTCTTAGTCTACCTTTAGAACAACATAAAATGTTAATTTGGTCAGGACACAACAATTCTTACAAATTAGCTTGGACCCACTTAAAACAATCCAGATTTTTACAGCATAATAAAATCTTGTTGTTTTTATTTTTTGCAGGAAAAACATTACAAAATGACAAACAGGCAGTGGCATTTGACTTGGAGATAAGACACAGCTGACTCAGGGAGGCCGCGGTCATCTCTGAGGCACACAAGCACCGAGCTTGCATAACTTCTTTCAGCTGACGCCTCACAATTGTGAGTTGCTTTAAAGATTTAAAACATTGTGATATTAAGATCTAAGGTCAGATACGGATCACCTGGTTATCACTTACCTCCAGGATAAAGCTATTAGAGGTTTTCAGACGTTTCATCACCGGTCCTGTACTACGGGATCTTAATCACGTCCCTCCTGTGGGTGAGCAATGGGTGCAAGTTGTTCAAATCTAGCAAGCTACTGATTAACTGCAAGTACATTTGAATAAACCAGAATATAATTGAAATTGTTCATTTTTTTTTTTTCAATAATTTATTTTTTTTTTTTTTTTTAATGGAAAACTCTTGTTTTGTGATATATTTCTAGTTTTTATTTCGGTTCATTTTGATGACATAATCATCTAAATTACCAGAAACACTTTTTAAAAAATTCCCAGGATGTAATAAATCCATATACTTTTAACTCTTTGACACAAATTCCTGATATAAATGAACTTTCAACAAAGCTTACTTCCAGTTTGTTGCATTGACAGTCTGTTTTATGCTAAAAACGCAATTATTTTAAATATGGTTTTTCCTCAATATAATTTCCATCCCCATGCTCACTAAAATTTCTGTCGAATCTTGCATTACAGCTCTTTCCTATGAGACGGCTTTGTGACTCAGTGCATCCTCAGTGTTGCGTAACTTCATCTTAGTCATTTGCCTTTTCAATCACTTGGTGCAGCGCTCCTTTTGTCAAACAGCCTTGAGTCCCCGCCAGCAGCACAATTAAAGACGCCACCAATCTGTCATGTGACCTTGTTCTCTTCACTATAACAACTGCAGCCGTCGTTCAGCAGCGTCAACGGCAATAAATCTGGAAGCAAAA